TGCGATCGAGCAAAACGATGACAATTTTATTTTCGTTTTACCTATAAATTGCTCGTCGCTTAAATGAAAATACCAATATGTGAAATAGAGTTATGGGCTCGTCCACTCGTTTCTTCCAACAATCGGTTGAATATCGATCGATGCGAAGAACGCGCATCTCTGTTTTACAAGCGATTTAGATTAAAATTTGATAGAAAAATCTTTCGCATAATTTCGCAGAATTTTAATTGGATATAATAATAATCCAATACAGGATTCTGTATTTTTACGAATTGCATAACAACTCTATTTACAGTGATAATTCACAGTAAATAATCACAGAATTATCCAATTATATTATCGAGGAGAAATGTTACCTTGCACTTGGCGAAATTATGTTGGGACAATGGATCGTATTTGTAAATACATACGGCAGGTAATCCGTCTGGAACGAGGATTCACTGCAAATTGTGTCTCATTCTCGCCAACTTACTTTATTATACCACACGGTCCAAGCTTATCTCCCCGTTACTTTTAACGACACGATGCCGTAATTGCCGTGTTTCAAATTTACTTTAATTAATTACGGGAATTTAGAAATTTATTTAACGCCGCGTTTCCAAGGAATATAAAACTACCAACAGTTATTAAGTCGAAATAATTCATTTGTGTCCTGTATATATTTTCATACATCCACAATTATAACGTGCAATTATATATATATACACACCCATTGAATAGATAAAAACTAACTAAATAAACGTTATATCGTTCATCGTAAGGAAAAACTGTTTGTCCAAAGATGGATCTTCCATCCCGTTCCAAATTTTATTATATCCTTTTCCGTTAAACTGTTTACGGTTTACGAGCTATTATCTTCTGTCGCGCAAAAGAAACTCGACACTCGGCGGAACGGTTTACAAAACTCCGGGGCAGAGAAGTTAATAACAGAGCGGTGTACGATTTCTAGTTGTCAAGATGCCAAAACCGTTTCAAAAGCTGTCTGAGAAGCGCGAAAAAGCGTGGCGGAACATCCACGCACACGCAGACTGAAAAATCAACGTTTTAATCATTTTAAAATATCTCTTAACGATAATAAATGAAATTATAATGATATAAAAAAATTTCTCGCTTCCAAGCCCTCCCCCCTCTGTGATCTATTCTCAACCTCGACCGTTGAGAAGTCTGTTCCCCCACGTTTCCGCTTCTCGCCGGAAGTGAATCGGCGACGCCTCTTGAAACCGAACTTTTTAATTCGACAAATAGATCGGGCCGATACATTACCTACTTAAAAACAATAGGGGGGCCGCGAGCGTTTCCCGACAATATATTTTCCCGCGCAACGGGAGGAGGAGGAGGAGGAGGATACTTTTCCTGATTCTCTTTAAATGGTGGCGGTGGCTTTGTTTTTAATGCGACTGACCCACTTGGCCCGGCGTCCCACTTTTGCCCCGCACCACTTCTGATAGTTCAGGAATTTAGATCGTTCTTAACGGATCGGCTGTCTCGATAAACTTTTTCGTTTTTTTTAACTCTATCTTCGTCGAAAAAGCGTAAAACAGATCGAGGAGAAATGATTTTTTTTAATCTCCTTCTTCGGATTACGACAGTTTTGATTGGTGTTTTGGAATTTTAGGGGCGAGCGAAAATTCGTGTCTGTTCATCGACGAAAATGTCGATACTTGTCTTTACGGACAGCGACACTTTTCTATTAATGATTGCGCAAAGTTTTACAAATTATGAAAGTTGTACGATGAAGTTTGTCAAAGTTGCAAGAACATAGAAAGAAAAAAATGATGTATTCTCTTGTAACGAAGGAGACTCGCTCTTCATCCTTTCAATTCTAATCTGGAAAATTAATAATTTTCTTCTGTTTCTCTTTTCCAACCTCTTACCTAACGTATAATCCCAACACTTACAAACAAGAAGAATATACATAAGCACACCGATCGATATTTCACACGAGCATGCATTAAAACGCGTATATATGCAGCACCTACCGAACGGAATGGATCAACATTGTTCAAGTCGTTTACGAGCAACTTTGCCATCCGCTCAATTGCAAAACAGGATTACAAAGGAGCGTACACGTGGAACAAAATCGCGAGAAAATATATATATATATATATCGTTCGAACGTGGCGCAACGTAATAAACGAGAACGTCTGGTTCTTGGTCGGTTGAAAAGTGGAGCGCACGAGGAACGCGGCGACAAAGCGGCTAATTGATCGATCCTCCATTCACCCGCGCGACCATCCTCGAGAACGATCGGTGTTTAGCGCCAAGATTAATATTGGCCCCTGCGTTTCACGCCAATTGTACGGCGGAAGTTGGCCAACGACCACTCGCTTTTAATCTATGGCACCACATATATGGAATAACGTTGCGATATCGTTGTGAAATTAACAGAAGGAGAAGGACCGGGAGAAATTTTGGAAATAAACTCGAAGCCGCGGTGAAACACGCGTATCAATACACGCGGGTTTGGAGGAGGTAGCGATGGACTCGAGTGTATCGCGAGCGTTGTTCAAGGATCGATTCGAATCTTTCTTAATTGCAACTAGTTTCATATATTCGAACTATATCGTAAATTAAACAATGAGGAGATTAAAATAAAATTCGTTCGTTTCAATATTTGTAGATATTGTTTTGAAATTGTTAAGCATTTAAACAATTTATTCATAATATATTTTAAATTACCTATTGTGAAACTGTTTATCTGAATTTATCAGGATAAATTCCATTCGTTTCCACGCGTACGAACTTTCTGCAAGTTGTGGAAGCAAACATTGTTCATTGATTAAATATTAATAAATAATTGCCATTGTTTTAACAAAAAGTTGTTCAATTTTCATTTTACCTAAATTGTAATTAAAATCTCAAAAAAAAGAAAAAATTACTAATAATTCGACATTATCTAAAAAACTATATATACAACGCATTCAGGGATGAATGAACAAGACAATGATCTTCTCGAGTCACTACGTGATTGTATGCAAATAATGTGGTAATTGTGAACGAGGTTGGATTTTCATTTGCAATTAGTTACGTGTTCCTTGTGCACGATCGATTAAAGCAACGGATTTGATAGGTTCTCAGGAACGTTTAACAGAGACAGAGGTTTCTAAAAGTGAATCTGGTACGATATTACGTAGCTACGCGTTAATATCGGTTCTGCCGTGTATACACGTAATTACGCATCGGTGTCTGGTAAACATGTGGTCGTGCGTTAAATAATGCAGGGAAAATAGTAGCCACCGTTGCAATTAAAGTGGCGTTTGTATTAATGAGACCGATTAACAATTATCAGTATGTTATTAGTCAATGTTAATATGTGTACAATCAATGCCGTGTCCTCGAAATAATCATAACACTGCTCACTGTTGATTAAATAATTTATATTACCATTTCGATCTAAATTGATCTATCTTCTGGAAATTATTTGGAATAACAGCTCGTAGCTTTTTTTTTTAAGATTATTTCGTACGAGAATAATGTATGTAATATGTAAATGATTGCAAGTAAAATATAACGAGTAGGAATAAAGATTAATTTTATAATTTTAATGGTTGATTTGTTGGTAGAGTGATTGATTATAATTAAAATAATGTCTAGAATCTAGATATCTTTTTAATTTCTAATATTATTTGATACAAGAATAATCGACCAGTTATATTTATTTAAATTGTATTAGATAATAGAATTTATTTCTAGTTTCCTTGGTTCAATTTTGAGAATGCTCAAGCTATATATATAAATACTACATTTGTAATACAAGTTTGTTTATACAAAAAGATAGTATATATTCGATATATCAGATGACTAAAATTATGTAAAATAAATCAATTTTAAATCGAAATCGCGTAATTAATCAGACGATGATTCATTTTCAAGGAAGCTTTTCTCAAAGATGAATAGATAGGATTAACAATTAGGCAAATCGATTAGTTAATCTACCGACATGTTCCACGATCCTATCCTAATTCTGTATTGATGCTAGATAGGATCAATTACGAAAACATGCTTACGTAATCCATACTTCCAATTTACATACACTAGCATCTGGTGCAACTTGCTAAATATGCTAAGAAATTTGGCGACAGTATATCAGCAAGTAAACGTGTATATGCAAAACACTATCCATTTTACGTGGATAGGAAGAGAACTTACTCCATCTATATCACTAGTAGTCTCTTTTGTGTGTTAAAGAAGAAGAATCATTGCCAGTTCCATAAAATGCTATACATATAGATTTTAAGAAGAAAATTTTGGAAAATTTTCATTTTAGTAGATCAATTCTTCTTATTCCTAACATTTCATTATTTATTTATTACTTGAAATTTTTTGATCTTATCTTATTTGTATTATTACGTAGAATTCGTGTAAAAGCTATGTAACAACTTATATGACTGACTATATGTTTAAGAAAACCTTAATATTATTTCTTTCTATTCAATATATTCAATTTTTTAATAAAGAAAATATAGATAAACTTGTGGTGTTGATACTGAAAGAAAAATCCTATCTAAAATTATTTAAGAAAATTCTATTTTATTGCTCTTGCTGTATAAACGAAGTTGATACCAATGAAGTTTGAATGAAGTTTGAATGAAGTTTATCCTAGAGAAAGGAATTTTTATTTCTACAACTCGAGAGACCAGAAATGAAATTTCTTTCTTTATTTATAGAAAGATTTCATTGAAAACAAGTTTTTACAAGTTATCGTAAAATCAATAAGTATTATATAGACAGTAATGCATTTCTTTTTATGTCGAGATATTTAAATTATTTTCAATTTCTTAAAAAATGTAATGTATAATTCCAACAAAATCACGTTAATTATTAAAAAAAGAAAAGAGCGAGAGAGAGAGAAATACACATATTAGATTTATTTCAAGAAAAACTTATGTAAGCTTTGTGAAAGATATTGCAATGTCCGAAATACCTTTACTTATGAGCATGCACGATATAAAACAGATTGCACTATGAATATTAAACAGATGAAGGCAGCGTTAAATTACCTGTTATACATGAGTACGTCAGGCTTCCAAAGTCTGTGTGGTGGGATCCTGAGGTCTCTCACTCCCCCATAATCTGACACATTCCATCTCATGTTCACATCATTCCATTCCTGTAATTGAAAAAAGCTTATTTTAAAACATCTCTTAAGAATTTTTCATCAAATCATTATATCTCACTCTATTGATTCAATAATAAAATTGCACGTATAAAGAATAATAATCTCAATTTCAATATTAGAATATTAGAATTTATAAAGCATCCATATTTGCCCTTTTATTTTATTTTTTACTTTACAGTATTTTATCTTCATATTTTCATTATTTCTTTAACACATCACGTTGAATGGATAGAAAAGATTCTAATTTTAAATGCAAAAATAATTATTCAAGTGATTAACTAATCATTGATTATTAAATTTAAAAATTGGTAAAGCATTTATTCTTTTTTTAATACTATTCTAATTTGATAAAATTTCGATGTTTCATCACTCTTTTCCAATTTTTCACGGATTTATTTAAAGGAGAAATAGAGAAACGGGGGCGACGTTACATAAAATTCATTTTAAGAAATGTACTTTCTACTTGTTAAACTCTGTTAAACAACTTGTACACTTGCCCTTTTTCGCATAGACCATGCACTGTCGATTCCACGGTGCTAATATCTTTTACAGGCAAGCTTTCGTGAAAATTTTCCCGACTTTCGCTCAGAGTTTGCGCAACTTTGCGGAAAATACGAGGCGATTTGGCAAGTTGCAAAGTTTTGGCGGTATTCTTTACTTTGTTACTTCGACCTTTACTAGCCAAGACAAGTAAAGATACGAACAGTTAACCGGCAAAGCTGCATTATAGCATGCTATCGATCCATTAGGGTGTTTTTGCGAAACAGCGAATTTAACGCTCAAATGAAATCAAGTTTATATACTCGACGTGATTTTTAGCCAACGTGATTTATTTGCGTGTTTAAATACATTTTTATCATTCAGAATTTGAAATAATCAATTTTAAAGTTTATTACTTTCAATCTTTGATTCTTAAATTTGTATCATTAATCATTGCAGGGATATATCACTTTTAATTTAATATAATTATATATATTATTTTTATCAAGGATTGAAATATTTTGATTAAATGAATATTATATTTCTAATCTAGAATGTAAAATGTAAATATAAAAAGATTCTTCATCTTTTCACGAATCAAAAAAATCAATTACTCTTGGCAAATAATTTTTCTTTTCCGTCCAATCGAGTGATAAAAATGTTGGAATTATTTCGACGATTATCAAACGAAGAAAAGAAATATTTTCATCGGATGGAGGCAATGAGTGAAATCGACACTCGTCCAGTATTTGTCCGCAGGAATGCCCGATCTGTTTCGTGCACGCCATTAGATTCACACCCATTAGTCACCAACTCCCGATTGATTAGCCACTGATGGAGTACACCGGCGGATAATTAATAATGGCCACTGTGCTCGATGGTTTACGTGGCACGCACAGGCCGTTTATTATATATCCATTTCCACGCATCGACACAGAGAACCTCGACACTCCTATTATGTAACGAAATTGGTTCACAGTTGATGGCTCAAAGCCGACACGAAGGAAAGAGAAGAAGTAACAAAGAAGAGGATCGTCGATTATACCAGCATTAATTCGATGTTATACGAATCTTTCGTGTAACGTAAGGAGAAATCAAAAATTTTATCGTCATATATATATAGAGAGAGAGAATTGAAGCGTAATTGAAATCAATTTTTGTTTCATCCGGATATCTCGATCGATTGCCCAGATATGACGATTCGAAAGTTTTCACACCGCTCAACATGGCGCGGGGATTATGAATGGGCCCGTGACCCACTGACCTACATTGTTTCCTAGGGAAACGCGTACTACGTTTTTTCAGGGACCACGTCTGTCGCTCGTCTGCAGTTTGGGATAGGTCAGTGAAAGGAGGCGCGAGAGGTCCGAGCGAGCGATTAAAAATTACGCTTTTGTTCGAACGACGATATCTCGGGAACCGGAAGTCGTATCGAGACAAGGAGGGAGGCGTTTTAAAGAGTAAGGCCTCGCGTTTCTAACGATCGTTCGCTCGTTGTCCGGAAATCATTATCTTCCGAGTTATAGCGGTTCGAGTTTTTCTTAATTTTAATCGGCAAAATGGTTGAAAATATTATCGTTCCCTCTACACGACGATACCCCAGAAAGTTGTATCGAGAAACAGGCGATTATTTAATTCATTCTTTCATTCCGAAGAGCGAGGAATCGTTATTCTTCGAATCGGTTTAATGTTTCTGAAAGAATGTTATCTCTTACTTTAACGATTACATTATTTTCGAATATAAATTTTTGTGTATTCTATGTGTTATTATTATTATTATTATTATTGTTGTTATTATGTACGCATAATATAAAGTGAATAATATGCACCAAAGTCTACTTTTAATAATATTTCTTGTATAATAAATTGACTAAACGTAAATTATTTTAAGAAGAGACGACACATTCCCTCCTCTCTGTTTTACTTAGGGAATGGATTACAAAGCATGGATTAGATTATTTGCGAGAAAACTGAGAAATGTTCGTCCCTTTGAAATGGAGACGAACAACGTCAATGTATGCGGAGGAAAGGTCGAAATAAAAGTAGAATCGAATGAGAAGGAGATCGTAAAAGAAAAACTGGAGAAAATTTCCAGCAAAATGCTTTTTCATCGATTCACTTAATGCAAGTGAGAGATCTACCTATTCTCGCGGGGCCTGGCCCGGACATTTTTCCAGTTTTCAAGTTGAACGATCAATCTTGCAACCCCGAACTTTCTTCAACAAATAATCAATTTCTTTGAATACGATTTAAATTGAGTTCAACTTGTTATCAAAAGATTTCTTTCATTTTTTCAATTATATAAGAGAGAAGTGAATTTTTGTTACATTGCATTGTAATATCACAAATATTACAATAAAATATATATGAATAATTTGTCGATTTGATAAAAATTTTCCCTTCCCTTCATTTTTAAAACAACAAGTTTACACCAGGACGAAGAGAGATTTTCATTTTCTCATACATGTCTGATGTATTACATATATTATTCAACGTGTAGAGCATGAAAACACAAAATTATACGAAATACGTTTTTACGATAGCCAAGAAAAAGATACCCGAGGATAAGCTTGGGTGAATCAAGAACTCTCTCTCTCTCTCTCTCATCTCCCCCCGAATATCATACACAAAGTTCTTGCACAAAATCGCAAATTTTCAGAGGCGTCCACATCTCACCTATATTTGCAGACAATTCGAAATGTAAATTGAACGGGGCGATAAGGAAACGAATTCAAAGCGCACGAATTAGGTGATATAAATGCGGCCGGGCAAGCGAAAATCCCGAGTTTAATGATTTTCATGCCCTGCCCAACTATAATTCCAAAACTTTGCCCCAATTTTCGCCGGAGGAAGGACCGGTCACGATTTCAACCCTTGCAATATTAATAAACATAAAACTCGGAGTGGCTCCTCGGATTCAATGTCGATCGGCCACCTAGTCAAAAACGCTCGACCGATTTTCCTGGGTGGAAAATCGAAGAAAGAGCTTGGAGGATAAAAGCTTCGGAAATTACGATATTAATCGTGACTCGTCTCAAAAATGATTTGTCTCTCGTTTGGGAATGGATTTGTAAATTCGCTAAAAAACGAGGAAATTTCGAATTATTCGAGACCTGTTTACCAACAACTTTGTATCATCGACTCCGACCCCGTTGAAATTTCCTCTTCGAATTCGGATTTTCATCTGCTGGCACAGATTCCAACGTTGAACGAAAAGAAAAAATCTCGGCGAGGCACGTCCGCGTGAATTCGCCCCTGGCAGGGCTGGGAATCTTGGCAATTTCGATTATCGCCGCTTCGAATCCCAACTATTCCGATCGTTCGTTCCGTGGAACGCGAATAAGATCAACAGATTTGTCATTTGGATCCATCGGCATACCGATTCGTCGTCCTCCATCTTTTGAAAGAAAGATTGGATCGAGAACAGTGCGAGTTATGCTCCTCGTTATTCAAAAGATAAATAAGGCCGAGGAAAAAGAGAAAAGAAGAAGAGTAATAACGGAAGAAAAAAATATAAATATATTATACTGTAATTATATTTTGATTCTATCACAATTGCGTTAATCCAATTCCACATATCTCGATTTTTCATCTCATTCTGATGTATTCTTGTTTAATCATTCGAATTAAGAAAAAATTGCAACAGACACATACTATGTTCTGTAAATATTCTGTGCGATTATGATGAAAAAGAAATGAATTTAAATTAGATAAAAAAATTAAAAGAAGAAGAAAACGAATACGTAAAAAATAAACAACGATGCGTTGCAATCTGAATGATACAAAAATTGGATACATGTTACAGTTACTTTTAAAAAATTTATTTATTATTCTGAAAATAAAATCAGAAGAAAAATATATCTCTTTATTATTACGTTTGATGTAATTTTTAATATCATTTAAAAAATATATATGTATACTTAGATACATAACATGTTAACAATTAATAATTATTATTAATCTAACATAATTTTTTTAATTTATTCGCCCGAAGTTCGAATTCATTCTACTCGTCGGTCAATCTTTTTCTAATCATCTCGTTTTATCCACTTGTGTCTGATAGATCTGTTATCCCCTTTATTTCAATGTAACCTAACCTATTCGACTCGTTATCGACACACGTTCTACTTGTCCATCATAATTGTATCGTTCTACTTAACCGATCGTAGCCACAATTGTCTTAATCCACTTGCTGATGACTCTTTCATTCCACCCGCGTGTGAACACATAACTCGTTTAACTTGTCTCTTAACATTTGGGTCACGTAGATTTTTACGTTTTTCCTTGAATTTTTATTATCCCGCGTTAATTTTTCATTTTTAAGCGTTGCAGCACGCTATCTGTCCGTTGAACTCTCGTTGGGCAACATTTTTCTGGTAATTTTGAGAGAGAATGGCAAGCACGAAAGTGGTGATATTTCTAATGAAATTGAAAGCTCCCGGAAAAGATATCCTCAAAAACAGAGCGAAATAAGATATACGTGTCAATTCTGCCAAGGGTGAATGTTTTGC